TGTAGAATCATCCCCATATTTACAAAAAAGTACAAACATTGCAATTTTGCTACACCCTAAGCCTACCTAACCTGCATTTTCTGTTAAGTGCAAAAAGTATATGAAGTGATACATGCACTGGTGCTTATAAGATCAAAGCCTGGAAATGAGGCAACGCCGTCACCATGAATCCAAGGTAGTTCAGTAGTTGCTGAGTCTTTGCTGCACAACTGTTAAATGCCTGATGTAGAAGCTGAAGCAGACATTAATGAACAGTCTAAGCCCAACAGCCAGAGTGGTGTTTTAGAGCAGGATCGCCATTCCCCCGCTCTCCACACACATTCACCACCACATACTCATCCCTTTGTTACCAGTTTCAGTATACAGGCTGGGCCCACAGGGCAGGAAGGCAGCCTAGCAGAAGAGGAAAAAGCACAGTTCCTATGAGGGTTGTAAGGAAGAGGTACGAGGCGCAGACTGAAAGAATATCTACTGCTAGGTCTCTCAAGCGTGCAACACCAGCGCAACCCCAGTTTCAGTGCTGGAGTACGGACCGGCAGCTATGCAACACAGGCCATACCTGCTCACTGCAGCTACATCTGTTCTGTCTTCAACATAAGTGCTTTTTAAGCGTCACAACAGCTCCTCGTACCTTCTCCTCCCACAAAATGATGCTTCATTTGATAAGGACACGTTTATATGCCAACAGACTGCTGCAGAGTAATGTGCACGTGTAAATGCTTAGTGATTCCAAAGAGCTGATATTCAAAACACGTAAATTGTTTGCTCTTTAAAGAAATGCAATCTGTACAATACTTGTAAGAGGGTAACTGTGACAATTAATGAACAATTGTCTATAACAGTTAATTTAGTTTTGTTCCTTATTTAAGTCTTGCAGTGGACTATGCTACAGCTTCTTGTAGTTTTTAAAATGCTACAACAGACATTGCCATTGATTTTAGATACACAGAGACTTGATTAAAATCTCGGAAGAGTAAGAGGAGCTCAAACTGTACACATGAAGAGACTGTACTCTAAACACAGTTGTCCTTTCACTATATTGCCATCATGTCTTGTTGGAAAGCACATGTCCATTAGAAATATGTGCTGGGAACCTCAGTGGGACCAGTAAGAAAGCAAGCTCTGCCTTCTGTCCAGAACTGGTGAGAGAAAGATCCAGAAGTGAGTGCTATCAGAATGTTGTAACACAGCAAAAGCTGTACAAGTAGGCACTGTGAAAGGAAAAACAGTAAGGCCTCTGTTTAAAGGGTGTATATATGTATGTATATATGTGTATGCATATATGTATGCATACACATATACGCATACACGCACATATATAAATAAAGTTTTTGGCAAAATAACTCTGCTTCATTTAAAAATCAATGCAATGAAAACATCAGCAATTTCAACTACACAATCAAGTGCAAAAGCCATGGGGAAAAAGCAGCAAATTTTCTGAAGTAGCACCTGTATCTCAGGGATGAACTTTTGAATTTTGGTTCTCCTGATTCAAGACAGAGGTAATGTGTTTACCCATCCAAACAGATTTTAACCAACTGACCACCTTACCTCTTCTGCAATAGTGGGGTATTTGAAATACACCATGATTTTCAGGACCCTTCTCTCCCCCACACTGGCAAAGCCTAGTAGGACACTAGTAAAAGGTCAGGAGCATGTGTCCCAGCAGTAGAGGTGCTAGCTGTGCTATCTGTGCCTGCCACGGTTTACAGGCAAGGCAAAAAGGCAGTGGAGAGAGGATGAAGGAGTGTGCTCAGGACAGCAATGACCCTGCATCTCCTCCCTGTCTATAGATTATGGTTCCTGGTCCTGTGTCCCTGATGTTGATTTAACACCTGTCTTGGCAGAACCAAGCCTCATCCCCAACACTTTATTTACTGCACTATTTAAAGCACTTGGCCGTGTGACCACTAGGTTCTCTCACAATGTTACTCGAACACTCAGTGACGAAAATAATTTCTCTGCCCACTATCATGTAAATTATACTGCATTGTTTTGTTAAAGATAAAGGCTAAGTGAAAATGTTTCATATTAACTGCAAAGAGTTATCTCCTCTCTTCAAGGAAGTCTTACATACTATGGAAAAAAATACTAGGCCTTCTCAGATACTAAGTGTGATGAAAGTGTTAAAAAAAAAAAAAAAAAAAAGAATATACATATTCTTGATATACTGGCCTTTACAGTACCTGAAACTGGAACATCTTAATAGAGGGGTTAAATACTGTACTGAGTTTCTCCTTTTAAAAGCTTTACAGGAGCTTTCCTATCTCAACTGCCCAGGAATCTGTTTTGTCTTCAAAACACACTAAGAATCATTTTATGATGCACAGAGACCTTAAATGCCAAGTGTGTTTTTCTTAAGTTATGTCTTCGTTCCAGTGCGGCACTCATCTGCTCTAACATGTGGGAATCGGTTTCTGGAAAAAGAGAAAAGGGAAAGAAAAAAGAAAACTCAAAAGCCTTCCTGCCCTCCACCAAGATCCCCTCTGGCAGTCGCAGGGAGAACACGAATTCATACTTCTGTGTCGCCTTGCTGCCACAACGCTACCCTGAGACAGGCTCGTACAGTGTTCTAGGGATGGAAAATCCCCATAGTAAGGGGCCCTCTGATTAAAATACTGTGGCCCAAGAGTTTCATGTTATTTCAGATAACAGGTACTGAGCAACAGGGCGAGACAGCCAGGCCCTTAATGAGCCAAGAACATGAAACACTGTAAGTTGCATGCTGCAGGGTGATACATGTCTGGAAAAACAGCAAGATGGGTTTATTTACTTCGGCTGCAGAAGATGGTCAGTACCAGCAAGCTTAAAGTTTACACATGTCTTCTGTAACAAAAAGTCAAATTTTCTTCTCCATTACTGAGTCATCAATTGGAAAGACCATGCATTCTTTCTGCTGCCCTGAGGACACAAAGCAGTTTCTTTGGCTTTCTGGACAATTATAAGCAGCAACCTATTTCAGATTTCCGCTCTAATTTGTGAGCTTCATCCTGAGAGAGCATACCCTGAAATACAACACTACTTGTAATGCTGGTACCAGGATGCCAGAAGAGCTCCAGCTGATCCTGCATGCCCAGGTTCTGAAGCAGAGACAACCCTGTGTTTAATGATAAGGAGACAAGGATTTTAGCTCTGTACTATCCACACTATCTACTGCATAGCATGAGTCCAGTTTGCATGTTGAATAAAAAGGTAAGCTGTAGTCCACATGGTGGTACCTGAAGAACATCCCTAAAATTAAACTAACAATTTAAACAATTAATAACTGGCTTCATTGAAAACAGGAGTCACTCCTCCAAATTAATCTCTACCAGAACACTAAGGACAGAAGGAATGACTGGACTGCAAGGAAAGGCTGCCCATGGCTGCCATTTTTGCATGGCTGTTTTGTCTCTGGTCATAGCTCCAGCTGTATCATTCTGTTGCTATAGATGACTGTCTTGCAGCACCCACATTCACACCCCCGTCTGCACCGTGACTGGAAAGCAGAAAGCACAGGTAATGATCAGATGTTGCTGAAGCTGGCACAGTGCTTAGAGTACAGACTGATCAACAAGACCCAGCAAGAACTGCCTCTGCACATAACTGGCTCCAACACGAAACGGCTTTCGCATATTTCAAAGTTACACTGAAGTCACCTGAAGCAGCTGCAGATGTTTTTCTAGACACACTGGCAAGAAGAATGCTCGCCAAGCTGCCCCTTGAGCGATGAATTCATGCCACCCATAGCTGAATTAGTTATTACTATTACCGTGTAACAGAGGACAAGTAAGCCCACTGGCTAGCTAAGTGGGCTCTGGCCAACATGGCTTAAGTAGCTCCAAGCAGCAGACACATACAAGTGGCAAAACCATGCAGGCCCCCCGCGCCACAGCTGGCTCAGAGAGCCCCTTGTGTATGATGTTGACCTGAAGTGAAAGGTTCACTCACTGGAGAACCATGGTGAGATGAGACCAGCAGAGATGTGAGTGCAGACCAACACAACTATGGTCATGGACAGCAGATACATGTAGTGTATGACAGGACCATGTCTGCTCTAGCAGCAGTCTCTAGCAGGAAGCTGTAAAAGAAGTACTGGATCCCCACATTTTTAGCAGATAGGTAAGCACAGAGAGGTGATCTCGGTCTCACAGGAGCTGACAGAGGAACAGCCTCTGAAGAGCACACACTCATCCAAGTGAGAAAAGACAGTGACCATGTCCCTGGGCCCACACCTGATAACAACACCCACCAAGGACTTGAGAAGGCTGACCAGGTAAGTGAGTTTTCATGATGGCTATTGGATTCCCAGTTATCTGATGCCTACAGCATGTTACATGCACGCTACAGGCTTCAATACCTCCTAAGGCTCCTCAGCGAAGCTATGCTGTAATTCAGCTCTAACATATGACTGTGCTAATTTACTTAAGTAAACACTAAATGGTACTTCTTTTACCCTAATTAGTGATGATTCTTTTAGTCTTCGAGCTTGCTGTTAAATAACAGTCCAACTGTGACAAATTAATGAAAATGAAACAGCACAAGTAAAGACAAGAAAGTCTGGTGTCAAAGATAATGGTTTCAATGACAGAAAAAAATCAGTATAATGTAATACTGCCTCAGGTGTTCTTGTTCCTTTTTTACATTAGAGTAGTAGCTGCTGAAAATCAAATGCCTTTTAAAACAGGTTTTGGCTGAATAATATAGGAGAAACTAAGTTGCAGTTGGAAACTTGCTCTACCAGCTGTTTCCCCTTCATTCATACTGTCCAAATACTGTTGAAGTAAATGCTCTGAAATATTTTGACTCAACTGTTCTAGTACTTTCTCTCTTCCCAGTGCACGGGGCTCCTTTTATAGAAATAATCTCTCCTGTGTTCTGCATTTTTCTCTTTACAGTAGTACGGTTTCAGCTGTGCTGTTTGGACTGATCCAAGGAGTTCTCAGCAGCTCATGTCTTTGCCTTTTTTTGGTTGGGAGGCTACTGTGAGCATTAATTTAAAGGAACACATTTTCATTTATGGAACAATGCACCAGAATTTATCTATGGAATGATTTTCTGTAAGAAAAAGCTGGGAGGAGGGGAAGAGTCTTTGTGAAGGTAGATGCAGAAATCTCAGCATCTTGGAATCTCTGTTTGGCCTCAGTTTCTATATACATGAAAAACTGGACAATGGCTTATGGAAAAGCAACCCAAAGTAAACATTTCAGATGAGACAAGTGGTACATAATAGTTATTGGTAACAATGAGGCACTATCTTTGAAAGACGAAGTAGAACCCAGTACTATCAAAATGTAATGAAAGGCACGCTCATAAGCAACCCTCTTCACTAGTTATCTACACTCGGTTTTACTGAACCATCTTGGTATCTACGGTAGGTGTGCTGCATCACTTCTGAGCACAGGTATCCACTTAGCGTCCTCCTTCAGAGACTGACATGCTATCCACTCTCATCTCTCTCAGGCTTCCAGTTTTTTTCTGTTTCTGCTTGGATTTTTTCAACATATGGACCTAAAATGGAAAGTTTTAAAAGAGGGTGAGTGAGTATTAAAATATCTGTAGTCACCTATAAGCAGATCTAAGGCAACTAAACAATAAACAAGTAAAATGTTGGAAATGCAACAGAAAAACATTTAAATACACGACTATCTGAAGCACCTATCCTTATAAAGCTATAAGATTAACTGCTTTTTTATGTAAATATATATACACATGTATGTATATGTATACAGATGTATGTGTGTGCATATATATTCATGTACACACATATACATACACATATATACAGATAACACTATTAGTCACTAACCTGAGAGAAAGACATAAATATTTCTCAGTGGAAGAACAAGTTAGGTATGTTCTCTCTCTCCTTCTCTTTTCCCCCCTTTCTCTCAGGAAAAGAACAAAGTTTAACATATTCCAAAACATTTGTGGTATGACCCTCTTTTTCACCCATTTTTCCTCTGCAAGGGCCATTGTTCTGGTAGCCCTCCCGGTAGGGCTACGTATTCTCCGAGATTGCCTGTAGCAAAAACTTTCTGTGAGTTAAAAGAGCATCATTAAGGTAGCAGGCAAATGTGTAGACTGGTGTGCACCACAGTCAAGTACTGCAAAGTGTTTATTTCACAATTTCAATGTCAATAGAGGAGTTAAATTCTTAGGTAGCTGATGCTCTTTTCCTTCTACGTACACCTTGAGATATCAAGGAAAAACAGACACTGATTACTTCAAAGTCTCTTTTTTTCAGACGCCCCTCCTCCATTATTCAGTTTTCTCCTTTGCTGCTCTCTGACAGACCCTCCCTTCTCCAGCGCCGCCAGCAGACTGCTTCCGACCTTGCACACTGCAGTACTACCATGGCCCTCCTAACTGCGGTCTGCTTCAGGGCAGACAGCGTTGCCTGGAGATCTCAATACAGAGGAAAAAACTAAGTCACTAGGCTGAAGCTCAGGGACTATTTTTTTTGAACACAAGCCTCATCTGAGCCGGTGGAGAGGGCCCTCAAACCATCCTCTGTAGAAACTGCTATGTATTTACCCAACAGTTACCACAACGTGCTGACTAGCTCCTTTAAAATTAAGCATCAGAACACAACAGACAAGCAAGATAATATGATAATATCCACTGGAGAAACAAAATCAACTTTCTAAGACAAACCTACAGCCAGTACCTTTGGTCCTGCGGCAGAAATAATAATCTGGCCAGGGGCTTGAATCCAGGGCTCTCCATCAACTTGAACTGGAATTGGCTTTAGGAGTGTTACACGAAAATATGAGCCTTGGGCTATGCGGATTCCTGATCGGAAACCACCTTGGACTTGACCCTGTTAAGAGGTAAAAGCCAGGGTATCAATTACCCCAATAAACAAGAAGCACAAATATTAGCTGCACTTAAACTGGGTGGATAAAATTTTATTCTCACCTGACATTTTAAGTTTCAAGTACAAGAACCGCTTAGGCAAAAGCTGCATAAGATGCCTTTACTGACACAGCATTAATTATTTAGGTTGGTGCCTGAAGAGGAACTCCCGATACCCCTGCAGGCTGCTGGAGGGAAAATAACTTACACAGTGAAGTCACTTGTACACTCGGGCTGGCCAAGGAGCATGCACTCACAGGGGTCTTGTTTGCTTTTACTTCCCCCCTCCGTAACGTAGTAAACACATTTTCAAAACACCTAACTATACACACAGACTTCAGCACATGTGAAACTCAAAAGTCTAAAAGCACTTTATCAAACAGGTAGAGAGAGTTTTCCCAAACTCAACTCCATATACACATATATATGTACACTCAACTACATACACATACACATATATGCAACTACAACTAACCGTAAAAAGTGCAGCAAGTGAACTTTGCTGCTACCCATTCTCTCAGGGAATGTGTACAGACACCAAACATGGGGTTAAAAACCTTAACAGAAGATCACAAAATCAGAGCACAGGCTTGTTAACATTTATATTCCAAAGCAACGGGTACGCTCCTTGTTGCTTCTAATTTCACAAAAATTTTAAGGATCTCTACCAAACCACTTCTAATGGAATGTTTTACATTTGTCTTAAAAGATCTACAATTACTAAACAGTAAAGTTGGCCAACACCAAAGATCGAGCTGCACAAACCATTTTAAGCACCCACCTTTCCCTTTTTGGTGGTTGTATGGATTAGTTGTCTGAAGTTACCTGACCACATGTAATTTTCAGCAGCAGATTTCTTAAGATGGTGAAAGAAATACGAAGACAAGACAAAAATAACCCACCATCCCACAGGCCTGCATTGCTAATAGCAGGCCATTGTACAAAATACGTAATACACAGAAGAATTAAAGTTGCACAAATTGAGTCATAACATTGTTTGCGGAACTGCCATACCATCTGCTTCATATAGCATTTGGATCTAGAGCAGCTAGCATCAGATCCTCAGAGACAGGGGTCAGAAAGCTTGTGGCAGATAATTTTAAAGCCACCTGTCTAGCCACCTGTCTACCTGTGATGAGGTATGACAAGATTTTTCACAAATACACTATCTAAGTGAAGAGTGGGTGGTTTTGTACTATTAAAATAAAATCTTGTTTTCATCCCATGAACTGTTTGGTTTTGACACCATGATACCTGTTATGAGAAAGCTGGTACATTCCATAATACATATATATATATATATATTTACATTTCATATATATATGTATACATGTACGTTTCTGGCCTTGGTTCAAAGTCTACTTAAGTCATGAAGCATTTCCCCATGCACTTTTAACAAGTTCTTCACACTCCTATTACTACTTCTTATCCAGCCGCAAGCTTCTTCAGTTTCCATTCCATCTGTCGTAGTCTGGCACCTAAACACGGATCTCCAGGGCAGGCCAATGAACAGGCAATGAGAGGGCGCTGCAGCCCGTGAACTGTCCGTGCGGTGCATTCCAGCTGCAGCTAAACTCCCGACACGTGAACGCTTTGTTCACAGACAGCCGACGCGGCCCATGAATTCTGTTTATGGTCCATAACCATTTCTACGTGACGCAACAAGTACCTGAATAAACGATGGTATAACCTTAACATAGATGCATACTTTTTAGGACTACGCACTTGTAATGCACTGTTTGTTAGAAAAATAAACCAGTCTGAGAAAACCTATGTTTCCTCCCTTCTCACTAGGATGCCGGCTTACCATGTGAACGACGCCAGTCACACCAACAACTTCCAGCAGGCCGTCATCGATGCGCGGTTTCTCGAAGCGGTTGTCACTCTCAGACCCCCAGAGATCGGCTCCGGACCCCCAGCTGCGTAGAGAGCAGACCACAGTGACCGCCTGCGGACCCGCTGTCTGCCACCGAGCACCCTGCCCCGTACCCTGCTAGGGGCGGCTGGTTCGCCAGACTTCCAAGGCCAGACGCTCTGATCCACACCCGCTGGAGGAGACAACACAGCTTTCCTGCGCTGTAAAAGCAGGAATTGTTTTCCTGAAGTCTGGAAGACTTCTGAACAGATCTTTTAGGAGCGAAAGAAGGAGTGAAGTAAGTAGTTTCCGTTTGAAAGAAAAAGAGCAGGTAAGAAGAAAGGAACTCCAAAGAGTTTTAATTTGCTGGGAAATACAGGTTACAGCTACACTAACCCTTAACTTCCAAGACTTAAGAACTTAACATAGATCTTACTGGTCTTGACAATATTCACATAAGCTACAGAAGAGAAACTAAAGCTAAAACGAGTACCAAGTTTTTATTCTTGTACCTGGCCAAACTCACTTGTAGTGAAGCAGGTATCCCTGCAGTTCAATCCACTGAAATGCTTCTGGCAATTTAACACCGTCTTGCTTTTTGTGCAGTATCGACCCTCCCTACTCAAATCACGCGCTTATTGTTTTCGTGCACTGACTGCTCAGTACTAATCGTGATCTTTTCTTCTCCGTGGTTCTCAGGAGCAACGTATACTTGCGTGTATGTGCAGGTGCGCATACGTGTGTGTACATGTAAATATATACACTTGAATAAAAAGTTGAAATATTTTCAGACTAAAATAGAAAGAGATAAAGGTAGTTTGAGATAAGAGTGTACTTGAAAAAAAATAGTGTGGCAGCACTAATTACCTGCTAGGTTTTGTGCAAACAAAAAAACTACCTCTACCAACAGCACATCTAAGGACGCCAGATTTCCTGCAGATTTGCCTTCCTTTCTTCCACAGCAGTAACTCCAGTTCCCTGCAGGCATCAGGGCAGTCCCCACCACCCCGTGAAAGGCACCTCAACTGTGGGTTTTCCACAGCTACCCAAATAGCATCACCCACTCCACGTACACGGACCAGCTGGTTGTAGGACCTGGACAGTGTTTGACAGTTGAATCCTGGCTGGCCTTCACTGCAGGAACTGCTTAGGCACCTGGTCTCTCGTGTGCCAGAAAGGGTGTGCAAGCTGATCATCCTTGATCCTTCTACAAGTCACGGTGAAATCCGGTGGACCGTTCAAACAGTTTGGGGGAGGGGGACGATGGTAGTGGACAGAAGCCACAGGCCTACAATCATGCCTAAAAAGTCATGGTTTACTAGAAAACTGCTCCAAAAATAGTCTGAAGACCTTTGGTGAGGAAATCATCCCAAATTACTGTTAGGACACAGAAGAAATAGCAAATGTATGGGGGTTTGCACTGGGAAAACAAGACAGTACCACCTTTATGTGGAGTGAGAATGTGAGTTTCAAAGGATCAGAAAAACAATGTCAAAATGGTGTTAAGAGCTAGCTCCTTAGGCACAGTTGCAAAGCCAGCGAGTCAGGCAATAATCAAAAATACCCAGTAACAACCGTCTACTAATCTAGACCATTTAACATTTTATCTAACCATTTGACGCTCAAATACCAAGCAGCATTTCCACACATACATGCATCCACACAGGATCCTTTCTCTCCTTTTTACCTGGGTATATTAATAAAAATGAGTCCTTCTATACTCGGTAGCTCCACCTCGTGCTGGTCCACTTGAAGCTTTATGTCTTTGTGAAGATTTCTGGTATGACTTATCTTCTGCAGCCCAACTTTCACGTAAACTCCTTTGTTGTGAAACCTAGGAGCAGACAAGCATCCTGTAAATAAAAGGCAAGGCCCAGCATAGCAGTCTTCCTCGTACGTATACCAGTATTGTCCTCTAGCAGGTATGTTTAAAGAGTTTTTCAGTTAAAACCCTCTCCAAATTATTCTAGCTTTACTGCAGAAACAAAGCATAAGCCACAAACTAGTACTTTATATACCTTTTACTTAAGGGATGATTTGTGCTGTCAAGGCACATGGAGATCTGTGAAATTTTATTACAGGAAAATCATCCCTTCTTCAAGTGCTGCCTGAATGCAATGCCTCTTTGAAATGTAAACTTCCGCGCTGGAAAACTGTATTTTTAATTAAGGCCTAGAAGTCTTTATGAAACGTTTTAAAATGTTTTCTCATGCAATACTAGAATAATTAAGGCACACAAACCTTTGTGAGTCTTTGCTTTACATACCGCTAATTCATTTGAAACATACTCAGCTGCAGAAACTTAAAACATGCTTAGTAATGTTAACCTGTGACAGAGCTCTAACATTTCTAATTTTAGAGTAAAAAAAGATGAGGAAGATTTTATGGCATCCCTAGAAATGTCAAAATATCTTAAGAATAACATAAACAAATGTTAGGTAAACACACAAAGTATTTTCTTCTATAATGGAAACCTTTGGATACATGGCCTTCAGGGCAACCTTAAAATAAAAAGCATAAATTTCCATTATTTGACTCTATTAGCACTTGGAATCCAACTCTGCAAAATCTCTTGTGCTGTAGACATTCAAGTGGGGAAGGCAGCCAGTTTAGCATGTGGGTTATAGTCAACTCTTCAGACAGAGACTGTTCAGTTCTTTTAAATTATTACATTGGGAATGATTAGCCCTACATGCTAAGTTTTAAACAGCACCGAATTAAAGGTACCTGATGTAACACCATTTAACATATGCATAACATAAGCTTCTACTCCAGACAAGACAATAAGATGTGTCTATGCTAAGCCAGGTTTTGTCTAATTTGGGTACTACTGAAAAATAACGGAATATTGGTAGGAAACACAATACTTTAAGTATCCCCAAGAAGCATTAGTTTTTGTTGCATGAAGAAGAAAGCCTGTAGAAACTGAAAGAATAAGACACAGTGCCGTAACTGCAGACACAGTCCTGAATTACATGACTTCTAAGAAATACTTATGGACCACTGAGGTCCACAGGATCCAGAGACATTGGATACAGCACCCTGTGATGCACAAGAAAGAGCAAATCTGTCAGAGATTAAATCCTATCACTCCATTCTTGCATACATATCCCATTCCATTTATGTATCTGACTAGGACATTGAGGCCAAATAAGAACGAACAAACTGATCTCCAACGTTACCACACCAATTCCTATCCAATGGTTTTGAAGGTGACTGAAAGATTTTATGATTAAAATGGCCAGCCGAGCTTGGGAGGGTGATCCTTCTGCACAGTTAGTCAGCAAGGCAGGAAGGAGGAAGTTGTCCTTGGAGCAGTCTCCAACACCTTATTCGTGCTGAAGGAAATCAAGGTTTGTACTTGTACAGTGTGAGACCCACGTTGCAGTCACTGCTGTAGATGACAGTGATGGGAAGAGAGAGGAGGGCAGGGCGTTGCACGCAGCTCATCCATCCCCACGGAGCCAGCGAGTCCTTGCATCAGCTCGGCTGCGACATTTGCGTCATTATGTCATCCCAGTGCTATTTGGAAGGCTCTCTACAGCACAGACATGGAAGGAACATCCTACTGCTCAGATGAGTTTGGGGATTTGACCTACGCAGCTCAGGAATCACCCTTTGGTTTCGTTTTCTACAAAAGAGGCACTACAGGTATAGCCAACATTCACATACTACCTGATGCCCCACTGGCTACACCCATAAAGCTACATACACCCTTCCTGAGGGACACTCAGAAGGTTGGACTGATTCTTCAGTTTAGCTAATTGAATATCTCAGAATAGATGAAGTTAAAAGGTGATCCTATATAGGACCAGTTTCATGGATTATGAAAGTAAACAAGTGTTTTTTAACTATTGCAATCCTGTATTTATCCTTGATAGAACAAACTGGAAAACTCCCTTTACTCTTAAAAAAGTCCCATGAACAAGACTCCACAGACTCAGAGAGACACCAGAGCATGAACTTGCACTGTTAGTTTAATCGTCTCTGTGGTTGTTGCCCAAGCAGCAAGCACCTCTGGTGGCCAGAGGAAGCAAGACCATCAGTAACTGCATGAAAACAAAATAAAGAAGCCAGTCCTGAAGACCCATGAAGAAACGAAGTGAGCTGATGCAGAAAGCCAGACTTCTCAGAGCTCTTGCCAACTGCTGCATGCCCAGAAGGGTAGGTTCGGGGAACTCCTTTTTAAAGGCGATGGGTAAGAAATGTGTGTGCCAGGCCTTTTTAAATGAACTGCAATTTCCGATGAGCACTAATAAACAGCTAGGTAACATCTCTCGGAAGCAAATGGAAAGCTGTCATGCAGAACAAAACGACTGCCTTTTATCTAGGCCTGCAATTCAACAAGCCCACCACTGGGTGGGAAACCACCACTGCAAAAGCTAAGAGCTCTCATGAATAATTAGCATCAGTTTGGGTGCTTTTATTAGGGTGATCTTACTGAAACCAGGACACTGGGAAAGAACTTTACTAGGTTCACATACAGAGGACCCAAGATGGAAAAAAAATGAGTTAGACAGTAGCCGTTGTAGCCTTTTAAAACCCACAACTGACAAATCAAAGAACCAATATTTCAAACCTTCCCCCCACCAAGAGAGAGCACAGTTCTGTATCTTCGTAAAAGAATTCTGAACTTGCATTAAATGGTGCAGAATACTCCCTCTGCCTAACCTCACATCCAGGAGACTGCCTGCCACAGCAATCCCCTGCCAATTTTGTATGGCACAAACAAGATGTGGTCTCTTCTGTAGCAGGCAAATCTAAAGACTGCCCCAGGATCCCATGGGAATGGGGGAATGAAGGCAGATGCCCTGATCCTTAAGTTTTACACTGTGAAAAAAACCTCACATAGCTGGCACTCAACAACATAAAAACCATCACTGCCACAACATACACTATTTTTACTGCCCTGCGACGCAAGCTGAGCACTAAATTCCCTGCAGGGAAGTCATCACTGCACTGTGAGCTGCCAGCCAAAGGTAAGGAAGGAGTCCTGAGCATGTAAAGAGACTCTACGGCGTGAGGGCAGAGAGCACACAGCTTTCAGGACATTTACCAGCTTCAGGTCTTGATTCAGAAGAGCACTCAGGCCCATTTTTCTTCCAAGGACTACCTGCAATTCCTTCTGCCATAACCTGAAACTTACTGTTCTGCACTCAAGAGCAGCCAGTTCACATGCCAGCAGCCATTGCACCTGGCATTAAGTAGGCCCATTTTTCTTCCAAGGACTACCTGCAATTCCTTCTGCCATAACCTGAAACTTACTGTTCTGCACCCCAGCCCAGCCAGTTCACATGCCAGCAGCCATTGCACCTGGCATTAAGTAGTCACCCTTCTTAGTTAATTTACTGAAAATAATTTTTAAAACGCTAATCTTGCTGGCAAGAGCGTGCACTTGCATATCCTGGGAAAGTGTAAAGCCAGCAATTTTAACAATCATCGTCGCCGGCAGTGAAAGGCAACAATCGTGTCAGCACTGTTGGCCTCCACAAGCTGTTTGTCTCCTGCAAAACCACACCTCACTATCAATTCATTATTTCATGTTTCTTTTCCAGATCTTGAATCACAGAAATATATAGCCCTTCAGATTTACAAAGAAAAAAAATCATCTCTTCTTTCCCACGGGTCCTTCAAGACAGCCTGCTAGCGTGGTGTCCAAATATGCATGTAAAAGGCCTGCAAAAATGGTACTAAGTCATCGCCCAATGCACTGCAGGTGCATCGCCCAATGCACTGTGAACTGACTGAGATTTCAGTCATTCAAGGGATGAAAAGCACACAGGGCAATAAAAGGCAAAGTATAACCCTTAAATACAGTGGCAATAAGAAAAGAACACATCTTTTAAAGTGCTGCAGCTTTGCAAAGTCAGAATAGTATATTTTAAATGAAGAATGAACAGAACTCTTACATTGTATTTATTATACAAGTAAATCTAGAACAGTTTTATACACTATATACAGGCACTGCTATATCTAAACTTATTGCCCAATTTTACTACCTATGATGTTTTTAATCCAATGGATTGAAAATGCAAACCAGTGCCTAATAGTAACTTAATGTACCACAAGCAATATCCTGTATTATTCCGTTTTTAAGAAAAAAAATGAGCAATGCCTGTAATGATAGACAGAACACTGCAAGATAGGTGGGATTACACATCATTACACTCATAACTGGTCAGAGAATATTTTTAATAGTTAGGATTTGAATACTGCATAGTTTTAACTATTAATTGTCTCTCTGGCAACCAAGAGCCAATGTAGAGGACATTTACTCACAAACATAGGGGAAAGAAGACAAAACCAGTTTCTAGAAGAAATTACTGATTAATTACACAAATGTGATTTCTTTTTCTCATCAATTTCAGTGATTATGGGAAGAAGAAAAAGTACTATTACTGATGGATCTGCATGCCAGAAAGGAGGAAGGTCTCTCTCCACACCTTTTTAATCACACAGTCTCACTTGAGATACAGATTTTTTTTTTATCCTTATTATTAGCAGACAGGTGCTAGCACAGCACTAAGCAAGGGTGGGAAAGGTACAAAGAAGTTCTGAACAGTGTGTTCATTGCTCACTTAGCAGCACTGCCCTCCCTCCTGCTAAAGACTGAATAAGAGATATTTCCACTACCTCAAAACTTCACTGAACTCAACATTGCAGTTATTGGCAAACAAATATACTGAAAAATAATGACACTGCTTTGGTACTCTCTCTTGGTAAAAGAAAAAAAAAAGAAAAAAAGAAAAAGAAACCAAACAAACCCCCTGAATTCTGTGAGTTCGTGGCTAATGTAATTCCTCCCTGTGCCAGCTCTGTCTCAAGCAATATTGTTTGTGTAGCATTTCAAGATTATCAGCCATAGTGTAAGCTGGAAGGTATGTAACACCACAGAGTTTGCCCTTCACCCCTGGTTTCCCCAGGATTACCTGCTATTAAATTTCCCTGGTTCTTCTTCTCTAGCATGATGGAAGTCCAAGCTCAACTCTGCGTCAATGCCAAGACCACAGTAATTGTTCATCTGTACAATCTGACAAAAAAATTGTATTATTTCCTCCTTATGTTTATAAATGAAGAGGTTCCAAAGTTTTTCAACAAAAGCAAGCTTTGCAGATGATTCTTCCAAGTCACTTGCATTTTGACAGATTCTGGAAAACATCTTCCAGAAACACTGCACTAAAAATAAAGCTGTACAGACAATTGTTGACATGTGTCGTCATTATTTCCAAAGTATCAGAAACTTCAAAATTTAATCTTAGCTGCAAGTAACAAGCATATTAAGGCAGAAATAAAAACAAATGCAGAAATAAACCCAACCCAACTTCTCAAAGTGATTCTATGCAACAACTACACAAGTTGTTGAATAATAATGCCACTATTATTTTTGGCATCAGCCATGGATAT